TGTATAGCGCGGTGGCGGCGCCACCTCTCTGTCGCCAAGCTGGCCAGTGTGGCCGCCTCCTTGACGCCACAAGAACCACCGGCCGACCTCCCTCAAGCTTCATCTCACACTTACCTTCCTGCTCCTCTGATACACACACACACTTCGTCTATTTCCATGACTGTTATCGTTACTCTTGTATGGGCAGGCGGAGCGTGACACTACTTGTAGCGGCGTCACTCGCTTCCCGCCCCGGGCCACACCATCCATGTTGACCAGACCACACACTAGAAAATGAAGGGACGACGACGTTTCGGTCCGTCCTGGACCATTCGCAAGTCGATTGTTGACTTGAGAATGGTCCAGGACGGACCGAAACGTTGAGAATGGTTCAGGACGGACCGAAACGTCGTCGTCCCTTCACCTAGTGTGTGTGGTCTGGTCAACAAGAAGTCGTCGCGACCCGTCCTCCTAATAGAACGTCGTATTTGGACGTATATTCTACCCAAGGCCAAAAATTGGTGTACTAGAAAACGCAAGCGGCTCGCGAAATTGACATATTCTGTCCCGTTTTCTGTTTGGAGTCCTCTGGTAGGTGGATAAGGGCATTTTGGTACGACAGTTTTTTGACGTTGGGGAAACCTTAGGAGGACGGACTGCTCAGTGACGTCTTCCTCTCGTTGTTGTTTAAGATTCGCTACCTGGAAGAAGTCCCAAGCAGCACGGGCTATGGTGAGCCCGTAGTGGACATGTCATCCTCTCCCTCTGCCCTCAGACACCCCCTAGTGTACAGGGGTATACGAGGTCTACCAGAGTATACCTTGCCCAGTATTCCTCACGGTCTCGCTCACAGGGCAGTCTTCCTCACCACAAGAAATCCTCTCATCCACCAATGGAAATGTCTTCGTTTTGATATTTGATACAAGTGTGGTTTAGAACTTTGGTGATGCTCAGTGTGGGGTGTGGGGCCGTCATGGTGAGGGGTGACTTAGTGGGGCTAGTGCCCACTCACTCCTCCTCACTGTGGCACTCCCCTCGCTGCCACCACCCTCCTCACACCTCATGCCACTACCCTCACAACACATGTGCATGGGGGGAGGGGGGGGGGCTGTAGGGTGAGAGGACAGGGGGGACAGGGGGGGGCTGTGTTAGGGTGAGAGACAGGGGGGAGGGGGGGGCTGTAGGGTGAGAGAGAGGGGGGGAGGTACCGCTTGTCTCCCTCCCCCCTCCCTCTCTACACTGCGCGCCCGAGCACCGCACACCCGCGCTCGGAAGGGAAGGGAATTATTGTCAGGGGGAAAGCACCAAGCCATTACGACTATAGCACTGGGAAGGGATCAGGATAAGGATCTGGAATGGGCTGGTGAGGGAAGGATGGTGCCCCAACCACATGGACGATCGGGGATTGAACGCCGACCTGCATGAAGCGAGACCGTCGCTCTACCGTCCAGCCCAACACCTCTCCTCACCGTCCCCTCTACTATTTACAAAACGTAGTAAAGACATATGAACCGCCAAAGTGGAATAGTAGGAAATGTTTACAATTTATAGAGGAAGGAGAAGGCATGGAGTAGAAGAGGGAGAGAGAGAGAGGGGGGGGGAGAGGGAGAGAGAGGAGAGAGAGAGAGGGAGAGGGGGAGAGGAGAGAGAGAGAGAGAGGAGGGAGAGAGAGAGAGAGAGAGAGAGAGAGAGAGAGAGAGAGAGAGAGAGAGAGGAGAGCCGGGAACAGTGGAAAGAGGAAAATGATCAAGTCTAGGTGGTGCTGGAAGCCAAACTCCATCTACATATTTCCAGTGTAGATACCTGGAGTGTACCCGTAGCGGGTTTTGTGAGTTCTTCTACTCTGCAAGCCCGGCCCGGCGCCAGGCGTGGCTTGTGTACAAGAACTCAGCTGTTGAGAGTAAGAGATGTGGGCACGTGGAGTGAGGCTGGAGGGGGAGGCGGCCCAGACCAGCTATTCCTTGTACAAGAGTAAGTGGGATGAGACTGGAAAGCAGGCAGGGCTTCCCTGAGGGCGGGTCGGTGGGGTGCCCCTGAGGGCGGGTCGTCCCTGAGGGTGGGTCGGTGGGGTGCCTTGAGGGCGGGTCGGTGGGGTGCCCCTGAGGGCGGGTCGGTGGGGTGCCCTTGAGGGCGGGTCGGTGGGGTGCCCCTGAGGGCGGGTCGGTGGGGTGCCCTTGAGGGCGGGTCGGTGGGGTGCCCCTGAGGGCGGGTCGGGGGGTGCCCTGAGGGCGGGTCGGTGGGGTGCCCCTGAGGGCGGGTCGGTGGGGTGCCCTGAGGGCGGGTCGGTGGGGTGCCCTGAGGGCGGGTCGGTGGGGTGCCCCTTGATGGAGGGTCGTGGGGTTGAGGGCGGGTCGGGGGGTGCCCTTGAGGGCGGGTCGGTGGGGTGCCCTGAGGGCGGGTCGGTGGGGTGCCCCTGAGGGCGGGTCGGTGGGGTGCCCCTGAGGGCGGGTCGGTGGGGTGCCCTTGAGGGCGGGTCGGTGGGGTGCCCCTGAGGGCGGGTCGGCTTAAGCACCTTCTCTGGATTGACTAAATCAAAAACTTGAAGACTGTTAATGTGTTTAGGAAAAAATACAATAGTTTCTTGGAGAGGGAGAGGGAAGATTTAGTGGTGTGGCGGCTGTTGGTATTGGTGTAGTTGGTGTGGTGGCTGTTGGTGTGGTGGCTGTTGGTGTGGTGGCTGTTGGTGTGGTGGCGGTTCGTGTAGTGGCTGTTGGTGTGGTGGCGGTTCGTAAAGGTGGCGTCGATAGTGGCAGAGAGGTGGGGGGGGGGGAGAGATCGTAGTTGCTTGTGGTAGGGAAGGACGTAGGTGAAGGCGCTTGGGTGTAGCTAGTCAGCTGGGGTCATTGCTGGGGGAGTGTTGGGTGAGGTGGGTGGCTGGCTGGGTCCGTTCCCAGCCACACTTGTGGTATGTGTGTGTGAGGGGGCCCCGGTAACACCTCGCCCACACACACCTGAGAGTGTGTGGGCGCCTCCGAGAGTCTAGGTTGTTTCACTACCTTACAAATGCGTCTTCAGGACGTCAAAAATGAGTCGAGTACTAGGTGGTAGAAGGGAAGGGTGCCAGTGGCTGCCGCCGCAGAGGGTGAGGCGGGGGTGTGTGAAAGTGGAAGTCAGGCCGGGGGGGGGGGGGGGGGATGGGGTGGGCAGAGTGCGAGAGAATGGGGAAGGTTAGGTGGTGAGAGCGACAGGAGGCGGCGGGGTGCGTGTGGAACAGAGTGGAAGCGACAGAAGGCCGATGGAGGGTGCGAGAGAGAGGGGGGGAGCGCGAAGGAGGGTCAAGGGGTGTGTGTGTGTGTGAGAGAGTGGGAGCGACCGGAGGCGGAGGGGTGCGAAAGGGTGGGGTTGGGGGGCCGATGGAGCGTGTGAGTGGGGGTGGGAGGGGTCGAGGGGGCTTCGACAGGAGGCAGAGGGGTGCGTGTGGGGGTCGACGGAGGGTGGGTTGGCCGGGAACCTCGCTCGGGTCGCACTGGTATTTCCTGCCCGGTGTGCTGCTGCCCTCAAGTCTCCACGTTTTCCGTTCCGTTCCACCACGTCTCTTGGAGATTTTCGTTCGCGGTAAATTCCCCAAGGAACCTGCCAACGTCCATCTTCAAAGACCTTACTGAATGCCAGCAATATCTATCTCAGGTTAACATTTGCTAACTAATTCCTGCATAAGGCAAACCAAACCAGCTCATTAAAGAAGGAGCATTCGAAGTTCTTCTTTGAGTTCGAAGAAGAGAGTCGAACTCAGCGATACAGAGGCGACTTCAGCCAGGGGTACAGAGGCGACCTCAGCCAGCGGTACAGAGGCACGGGGGGGGGGGAGGTGTTTATAAACAAAGGTAATTAAGAGGGTGTGTTGGAAGCTGGACATGTGAAGCCAATGTTGGGAGGAGTTGGCCCCATGTTGGTACAAGCGTGACTTGAAGAGCACCAACTTGCGTTTTGTATGTTTTGAGTCTGGTGTTTCCTAGGCCAGGTGTCTGCTGGCGTGCGTGTGATACGACCACCTGGCGCTCATGCTGTACCACCTGGCGCTCATGCTGTACCACCTGGCGCTCATGCTGTACCACCTGGCTCTCACTGTGTACCACCTGGCGCTCATGCTGTACCACCTGGCTCATACTGTGTGCCACCTAGCCCATACTATGCAACATCTGCAGCACACTGCACCACCTGGCTCATACTGTGTGCACCTGACACTGCACCACTATGGCTCATACTGTGTGCCACACTGCACCACCTGGCTCATACTGTGTGCCACCTGACACTGCACCACCTGGCCCATTCTAGCGCCACATAGCCCCTGTTGGAGCACAAACAAGTACAGTTTGCGTGTAGCCTACACCGCTGTGTGCACCATACACACGCAATGCGTTTCCAGTTGGCATACATGTATGTCCTGTACACCAGCTGGAATGCACGTGTATACATTCACTATGCACCAGCGTGTATACAGTGCTCAGGTGGCTACAGCAAGCCTATACGCCTCCTGGAGGCAGCCTGAACTAGAGTGAAATATATGGTGAGGTAACCACAAGGTGGAGGTGGTGGTGGAGGGGGGGGGGTGCTGGAGTATGTGGGGGGGGGGGTGGTGGTGGGGTGGAGGGGGGTGGGGGTGGTGAGGAGGTGCTGAGAGTGTGGGGGGAGGGTGGTGGTCGTGCAGGTGGTGGGCATGGGCTTCCTTATCAGTGTGCCCGCCCTGTGATATGATAAGATATTGTCCTCAGGTTACTCGGCCCTTTTCGCGCTTCAGTAAGTGCGTGTGAATAGTACTTACTTAATTGTTTGTAGGTCAGGCTTCAGTTCTTGGATCCCGCCTTTCAATTGCCTATTGCAGGGGGTTCCCCGCTCTCTTGATCATACCTACTCTTAAAACTATAAATGGATAAATTAATTTAAGGCTCAATTAACTTTGTTTTCTCTCATTCTACTCTCACACTACTTTTATGCTGGAGAAGTGCTTCCTTATACCCCCCTGTGTCTTATCCTAGTGCTGTGTCCTATTTTCAACCAAATACTGTACAGAGGAGTGATATTGGTAGTCTTCTAGCTTTCTGGTAATTCTCCCCTCCGGTAATTAAATATCAAAAGAAAGCACTAAGCTATTATGTCTATACATACATTATATATATATATATATATATATATATATTATATATATATATATATATATATATATATATATATATATATATATATATATCCTTTTCAGTAAAGTTGTGTATATCATTCCTTAGAAGGGAAGGGAACTATCAGGGGGAAAGCGCCAAGCCATTACGACTATATAGCACTGGGAAGGGGTAAGGATAAGGATTTGGGATGGGACGGGGGGAAGGAATGGTACCCAACCACTTGGACGGTCGGGGGATTGAACGCCGACTTGCAAGAAGCGAGACCGTCACTCTACCGTCCGACCCAAGTGGTTGGATCATTCCTTAGAACTTCAGTTGCATCCGTTGGCATCGGTGGGAAGACTGTAGTTTACAGTTCAAGTTTACAGTTTACTTCTACACCTCATCTACTGTGACCATTAATGTTTGTTCTGTCATTCAAGGGGCGTCTTGTCCTCCACCTCCAGCAAGCTCTCAGGTGTTGCACACGCCCTCCAAGCTCTTGTTTACTGCCTCGCACATTTCCTTGTCATTTTCTAACTGAATCTTTCCTCTTCGATCTATTGTAATTACTTGATCTTTATCAGACATTTTTTTCATTGTGGTTTTTCTGCGTGGTAGTTTTGTTCATTATTTCTTTCCTGTGCGTATACTCTCGTCTTAAGTGTTCTCGTTGGATGGGGCTCTAGCTCCTGAGACCCCACTGTGTGTGTACTCACCTAGTTGTGCTTGTGGGGGTTGAGCTCTGGCTCTTTGGTCCCGCCTCTCAACCGTCAATCAACTGGTGTACAGATTCCTGAGCCTACTGGGCTCTGTCATATCTACATTTGAAACTGTGTATGGAGTCAGCCTCCACCACATCACTGCCTAATGCATTCTATTTACTAACTACTCTGACACTGAAAAAGTTCCTTCTAACGTCTCTGTGGCTCACGTGGGTACTCAGTTTCTACCTGTGTCCCCTTGTTCGCGTCCCACCAGTGTTGAATAGTTTATCCTTGTCTAACCTGTCGATTCCTCTAAGGATTTTGTAGGTTGTGATCATGTCTCCCCTTACTCTTCTGTCTTCTTGTGTGTGTGTGTGTGTTTTCTGAATGGTTGGTCCATTAGCTTATTATGTCTGCAAGTGGAAGATCACTACGTGCATTCAAGTGATGATACTATTTTCCTATTATGCATTCAATAATGGTCTCGTGTATTTTATTCTTGGTGTTAAGTGTGTGTGAACCGAGACATGTGCCCGCCATGAATGATTTATGGCGTGTAACATAACTAATACGATGTCAAACACCCCCTGCCATCTTCATCTTGGAGGGGGGGGCTGACAGCTGAGTGGATAGCGCTCGGGATTCGTAGTCCTGAGGTTCCGGGCTCGATCCCCGGTTGAGGCGGAAACGGGGGGGGGGGGGTATGTAACAAAAAGGAGGCCTGGTCGAGGACCGGGCCGCGGGGACGCTAAGCCCCGAAATCTTCTCAAGATAAGAAGATCTCTCAGACTCGTGAGAACACATGGTTCTTGGCGCCCCAGAACCTGCGGTTCCCGGGGACACGTCAGAAGACCTTTCTAGTCTCCTCTGTTAAGGGTGCTCCAGAAGATGCGGTTCTTGCACGCTGCGCTGCGTTCATACTAACACGCCCCGCGTCCTGGGGCCAGGTTCACGAAAGCACTTACGCAAGTACTTACGAACGTGTACATCTTTCCTCAATCTTTGACGGCTTTGGTTACATTTATTAAACAGTTTACAAGCATGAAAACTTCCCATTCGACTGTTGTCATTGTTATAAACAGCCTCCTGGTGCTTCGAAGCTCATTAACTGTTTAATAATTGGAAACAAAGCCGTTAAAGATTGAGAAAAGATGTACAGGTTCGTAAGTGCTTTCGTGAATCTGGTCCCTGGTGTGCTGCAGTCCTCAAGTTCGAGCCCCTGTGTAGGGAGGGACGAGTGAGCTCGATCCTTAGTGAGTCCTCCCCTCTTCACTCAGCAGTACTTGAGGACCTGGAATTAGAGCTCAACGAAAACTAGCATGGTAGGGGAGAACTTGAAACTTATTAATTAGTCAAACGTTATGTTGTGTAATCACCTGAATACAATATCAAAGGGAATCGTTTCTAGAATCGCTGTATTTAGTTACATGAAGTTCACCCTTTTTTGTATTTTCTACCTTATGAAGATGTGTACGTCTTCCCACGTCTCTGTTAATACATGTGCGTCTCTCTCTTAGCATCTCGTACGTCTCCCCGCCTCTCTCTCTCTCTGTCTTTAGGGCAGGTTGGTCTTGTATGATAGGTTGGTGGGGGGGGTGCTGCCGCGGCTCCGACGGCGGCTAGTGTATACGCTTGCATACTATAGTCCTCCCTTGCTACAGCAACGTTTTCTTCCCTGAAGTCTCCTCTCTTCCCTGTCATATTTACACCCCCCTCACTCGCCCCTTCTCTCCCTCTTCCCCCTTCCCGTCTACCTTACCTTCCCTGTCTTATTACCCCTACCTTACCTTACTATCCACTCTCCGTTACTACCCACCCTCCCTTACTAACCCCTCGTCCCTTACTAACACCGCTCCCTTATTCAGCCCCCTCCCCATTCCTCCCTTTATTAACCCATCCTCCCTTACTACCAATCTTCCCTAGACACACAGCCCTCCCTCCCGTTTTCCACCCTCCCCCTAATTCATCGTCTCCCCCCCCCCCCCCCCTACAGAGCTTCCCTCGCTCCCTCCCTTCCTCTTTCCCTTCCTTTCCCTTGACGGTCGCTCCCCTTCATCCCGTTCCCCACCCCTCCCTTCGCCCCTAATTTCCCCCCCTTCCCCCCCTGTGTAGGGAAACAATATTTATCAAATATCTACGAGTCTTTTTCCCTCAAAATGTTATTAAACATTGGTAACCTCAGAGTCAAGAACTTTCTCAAATTATTCAGTTAAGATAGTGTTAAACTCGATTTATTTTCTATGTGATGGCCGCAGGGATATTATATATACCTCAATGAATATAGAGAGTACCTCAAAGAATATATATATATACCGCAGTGTATATAGAAATATACCTCAAAGAATATACATATACATTTTCATATACCTCAGTGGTAAAATGGACTAATCTTGCTAGACTTCTTGGTCCACAAAGTACGGGGCTCTTCTATAAGGACTTCCATTCTCCCTTAAAGGCCTCCTTACTCATTTGAATATAACTGCTATTGGGATATTGATGGCATGTAACTAAGAATTTATTATCATTACGGTAGTCAGGTTAAGTGTCTGGGGGGGGGCCATGCATGCAAAGCCAGTGTTCGTGTTGACACGTGCGTGAGTCATGGCTTCTTGTCTAGAAGTGTTTTCAAAGTCCCCCTGTGTGTGCACGCATCCGAACAAATGTGGACGTCGCCGGTAGAAATTGACGGTGGGGCTGCAGGCCAGTTGGTCCACAGCTGCGAGAGAGGAACAGTCTCGACGTGGCCTCGCCGGAGCCTGTTCAACCCGCAAATACCACAGCACTGCACGGGAGTCTCGCCACTACTGCGCCCTGCCACTCAGACTCCACTCCCGTGCGCCGCCCTTGATGAAGCAAGTTTAGGTCTGATGCCGGCGCACGGGAAACTCGACTCTATGTACGACGCGATAGAATTTACAACTGTCCACCCGAGTCTCTAGCAACTAACATATGACATCAGCGTCAGAGGAGTAACGTCCTTGTATTCCCGTACCGAAGGCGGTTTTTGCGTCCCCTGCACCGCACACCACGGCCAGTCACCGTTGGTTCTCCCTCTTTCCCTCCCTCTCACTCCCCTGGCCCCTCCCTGCCTCCACTCAAGGCAAACTGCACTCCAATAACACCCTTCGCGCCTAGCGCACAGAGGTCTAAATTCTGTGATGTGGGTTGCGTTCCCTCAGGCACCAGGCAGCGGTGGAGCCAAGGGACTTCCACCCTTGCTGCTCTGCGCGCGAAGATCTAAAATTGTGGACTCTGGCGCAGACGCAGGGGCCTTCTGTCACTGGTCGAACAATAAGTTAGCCAATGGGACGGGAGTTCAGCCCTCACGCGCGGGTGACTCACAGACCAAATTGGAATAACGGCGTTGGTGGTTGCTACGTGGGTCGGACAAAACATCCTGGAAGCACGCCAACGTAGTCCATGTGTGCGAGGAGAGTAAGGGTGAGTTTGGTGCGTTTAGTCGGTGCGGGGGCGCTACAACCCAAGTCTAGCAAACAGAGCTCGGAGGAAAACAAGAAAACACGCCTCGGAGAAATATGGAGGAATCAAAACAAAGAAAATTTGACAAGAAGAATTAACGCAGTATCCCCCTAACTTATATTGTCTCGTATCATTCCCTGGCGTTAGTCTTAGGTACTGTAGGGGCTGCCTGTTCCACTTTAACTTTGTCTTAATTAGAGGAGGTGCATAGAGGAGGTACATGTCTTACTGCGTGTCTGCGGTCCATACGTACAGGATATCCTTCTGTGAGGATGGAGCTGCTCTTTCATTAACTCTTAAAATATACAAATATCTTTTACTCGCACACCGATTTGGATTAGAGATTAGTCTTGTAGTAGACAACGTTGAGGTGGGGTTGTCGGAGGGTTGAGGCGAGGCAGCCAACAGGTGGCAAAGAGAGAGAGTGAGAGAGAGGCAGCATGTGTTGGTCATTGTCAGCTGGGCTGCTCCTCCTCCTCCTCCTCACTCCGCTCACCAAGTCTTGGGTTGAAGTTGGCGGGGAAATATGGGCTGTGTAGCCACCTGTTACATCACGCTCACAGGGCCGCGTGAGGTGTGCAAAACCTGCCACCCAGTGCCTCCTCCCGCTCCACCCACTACAGTGCCACCAGTTCCTGCCAGCGGGTGTCAACACTCCCCCACAACAATAAACTGCTAGCAGACCTGATGACGGATTCCGTTATCGGTGGTATATTAGCGTAAGTTTATGAATGTGGTAGAGGTTGTGAGAGGTAGAATGGTGAGGTTGTGAGAGGTAGAATGGTGAGGTTGTGAGAGGTAGAGTGGCGAGGCAGGAGGAGCAGGCGGTGAAGGCTGCGGCGGGCTGGCTGGCCGCACTTACACAAGGCGAGCTGCTGCTGCCGCCCGTAGAGGCCAACCCCGCCTGCCTCACCCCTCCACCCTCGCCCTTACAGCCCCGCCACCCTCAGGGCCCTCGCCCTGGCTCGCATCCAAATAAAGCCATTTTGAATATATGCAATTCACAGTTAACTACGTATGAACATCATGTAAAAAATGACATAATAGCCCGTCAATTAACTAACGACAGGAATATCTATAAGCTTAGGGAAGTAGGGGTGACTAAAGAAATGCTGCCATTAATCTTGCGCTCGGCAGCTCCGGGCGGCCGCGCGCCCAGGAGTCACTGTACTAGCCTATCTGTGGGTAGGATGGAGCTTTAGCTCTTGGACCCAGTGTTTCCAGCCCCCCTATTGACTGCTACAATGTATGTATGTATGTTTGTATGCGTGTATGTGTATATGTGCGTTATTTCTGTAGTGTGTGTGTACTCACCTAGTTGTGCTTGCGGGGGTTGAGCTCTGGCTCTTAGTTTGGTGTGTGTGTGTGTGCTTGCGTGCATGCGTGCGGCCGAGGACATACTGACGCAGGCGCCGCAGCTCGACTAGAAAATAGCACTATTTACCCGTTGCCATGGTAATGCGCCACTACTTAGACAACATTGCTCAAGGTTTATCGACCTCTTAGTGTGTGATCTTTTATGTTAACATGTTCAATGTAAAGTAAAACAGTTGAACAGGGCGCTAAATGTCCTGTTACAGGGGGTTAGATAGTCCGGACGAATAGTTAGGCCCTACTGTTCTCGCCCCCTTAACCTTCTTTTTATGAGCCCTCCCTGTCGAATTGATCCCATTTTCTTTAACAGCGGCGCCTGTGGGCCGGCATCCCCCTGTGAAGCCTGTCTGGGGGGCTGGCATCCCCTGTGAACTCTGTCTGGGGGGCCGGCATCCCCTGTGAAGCCTGTCTGGGGGTGGCATGCCCTGCGAAGCCTGTCTGGGGGGTGGCATCCCCTGTGAAGCCTGTCTGGGGGGTGGCATCCCCTGTGAAGCCTGTCTGGGGGGTGGCATCCCCTGTGAAGCCTGTCTGGGGGTGGCATCCCCTGTGAAGCCTGTCTGGGGGGGTGGCATCCCCTGTGAAGCCTGTCTGGGGGGGTGGCATCCCCTGTGAAGCCTGTCTGGGGGGCTGGCATCCCCTGTGAAGCCTGTCTGGGGGGGTGGCATCCCCTGTGAAGCCTGTCTGGGGGGCTGGCATCCCCTGTGAACTCTGTCTGGGGGGCTGGCATCCCCTGTGAACTCTGTCTGGGGGGCTGGCATCCCCTGTGAACTCTGTCTGGGGGGCCGGCATCCCCTGTGAACTCTGTCTGGGGGGCTGGCATCCCCTGTGAACTCTGTCTGGGGGCCGGCATCCCCTGTGAACTCTGTCTGGGGGGCTGGCATCCCCTGTGAACTCTGTCTGGGGGGCTGGCATCCCCTGTGAACTCTGTCTGGGGGGCTGGCATTCCCTGTGAACTCTGTCTGGGGGGCTGGCATCCCCTGTGAACTCTGTCTGGGGGGCTGGCATCCCCTGTGAACTCTGTCTGGGGGGCTGGCATTCCCTGTGAAGCTGTTTTACAGAGTTTCATCTGCCCTGCCCAAGGGATTGCTATATTCAGTGGAGTTTATGTAGTTTATCATTTTGAATGACTTTGGATATTTTAGAAACCTAATGAAATACGAGACAAAGATGAATAAGTATGAAGTACCGGGAGAGGGGAAAAGAGGGAGACGAGGGGGTGGGGGGCGAGAGTAAATGGAGGCCCCTAAAATTCCCCTCTGTGAAAAAAATTGAAAGAGGGTAGACAGAGGGGGAACCCAAACATTTCTTCATGGTTTTTGTCTTCCCTTCTCACTCTCCTTCCTCCAGATAACACACAGAAAACGGGAACCTTGGGGGTGAGGTTTTCCCGTCTGGCAGACAGGCTTTGAGAGAGAGAGAGAGAGAGAGAGAGAGAGAGAGAGAGAGAGAGAGAGAGAGAGAGAGAGAGAGAGAGAGAGAGAGAGAGAGAGAGAGAGAGGAGAATAGATAGGTCTGGTCTTCTACATGTCCACACCATCAATGTCAGCTAGCCACTATCGCCTTGGCTAATAGTAATAATGTTAATACCTTTCTGTATAGGCTCAGCTGTCGTCTTCGGCGAGTAATAAACAAATGTGCTTTAGGCATGTGTGTGTGTGTGAGGGAGAACGGGAACCACTGCCTGGTGAACTATTTACAAGTGCGTCTGTGTGAGTGAGGAGCCCGTGGAGAGCGGCAGGAACCGGCGTTGGAACTGCGTAAACAACGCGGCTAGCAAGTCACAATATACTTAGTGAAATATACCCTTTTTGGGAAGTTTTAAAAGTGCTCTTTTTTTTCCCCTCCCTCTCTACAAAAATGAAACCAAAACGGGATTGATTACAAGTGCGACGAGGGAGATCCCAGCCGCATTTTAACTTTCAGGGCCTCAGCGTTGAATTGGATCACGGTAAACCTGACCTTGAACCAGTTAAATATTTTCGGCCTGTTATAGAGTCTGAGTTTGAAACGCATATCTTTACATTCCTGGACATCTATATATATATATATATATATATATATATATATATATATATATATATATATATATATATATATATATATTATTAGTTCCTGCAGAAGGGTGCCGGCTGATCACCTCTCGTCTCGTCAGCGTGTTCAGGAATATTGGTTGACAAGTCTCCTCGAGCTATATAATCGTGATGGCTTGGTGCTTTCTCCTGTTTCCTTTCCCTTGGTGTGTTCGGACGCCGGGAAGGAAGCTCTTTGTTGTTAATGCTGTGTGGTCCGCGGTGTTACCAGTCGGGTGAGTGTGGTCAACCTTGCGTCTAACACATCCTTCCTCTACCACTCCATCTCTCAACATCTTCCTCTCATTAGCCGCTGGTGTTTGTACTCGATAGAAAACTAATGACGAGGCAAGTGTAGCCAGGCAAGTGTGGTGGGGGTGTGGTGGTGGTGGAGGGACGCTGGCAACTGTGACCCCAGCGTCAGTGAGGTGACGGAGGACGCCTCGCCCCCTCTTCCTCCTCCCTCATTCTCAATTACTATGGATACTTTCTTTCAAATGAAAAAGAGACAATGTGTATATATATATATATAATGTACCCCACGCCCCCAGTCTGGGGTGCAGGAGGCCGGTGTCCACATCAGTAGGTGAGCGGTCAGAGGCAATATACTTAAACTCTGAGGCAGAAGTTGTAAAGATAGCGAATGAGACTTGGGTTAACTGAAGCAGATTGCGAGTGTTAGATAATGATGCGACTAGCATCTTCATAACGAGGATGACTCGTGCCTGACACGTTGCTACTTTCAGTAGTAGAGATTATATGTCAGGTGTAGGCATATAAGACTTGGTGTGTAGCAAAGGTGTATGTGGGTCTCCTCTTGGGGCACACTAGCGGTTTCTATTCCATATGGGCGATCAGGATACTTTCATGTCTGAACCCAACCTTCTAACAATCCACTTCATTACGTCTAAAGGACATGTATAATGGAGTCGACCAGGGTGTGTTTACCTCCAACCTAGGACAGTGGGTCGAATAGTGAGTCTTCACTACCACCACTTATAATAGATCGACTTGGGCGCCTCCAAGACCACACTACAGCTCACGCGACGAGTCTGACAAGACGTCCCCACCACGCACACTAGAGGGTCACAAGGGTGTGTCCACCACACACTAGGGTGTCACCAGGGTGTCTCCACCACACACTAGGGTGTCACTAGGGTGTCTCCACCACACACTAGGGTGTCACCAGGGTGTCTCCAAAACCAACACGTAACCAATGAACCTAGTTGGCTCCAACGCTACACAAACGCTCTATGATAAACATGGCTGGGTTAGGGCGCCAACATCACGGATATAGGTTCAGGGTTCCAATACTATGGTATTCTGGTCCAGGGGTATACTATGGTATTCTGGTCCAGGGGTATACTATGGTATTCTGGTCCAGGGGGCTAATCCCACACCCACCCACGAGCGTCCTGGGTCAACTTTGGCTACCGTACCCCAGGGGACAGGAGATGGCCATAGTACACGGTTCCCGGGCTCCTGGTGCCCACTCCCTATCACCACCCCGACCTTCCGTATCGCATGATACGTTCTAAACAACATAACTACCAATAATTACTTAACGAAGTTGAATCCCTTTGGTTCGTGGGACGGCGATCTCACACACACACACACACACACACACACACACACACACACACACACACACACACACACACACACACACACACACACACACACACACACACACACACACACACACAAAGGTTCAGAGGTTTGCAACGAGACTCGTCCCAGAGCTACGAGGGATGGGGTATGAGGAGTGCCTGAGGGAACTGTGCCTTACGACACTAGAAAGAAGAAGGGAGAGGGGGGACATGATAGGAACGTATAAGATACTCAGAGGGATTGACAGAGTGGACATAGACGAAATGTTCACACGGAATAGTAACAGAACGAGGGGACATGGATGGAAGCTTGAAACTCAGATGAGTCACAGAGATGTTAGGAAGTTTTCTTTTAGCGTGAGAGTAGTGGGAAAATGGAATGCACTTCAGGAACAGGTTGTGGAAGCAAATACTATTCATAATTTTAAAACCAGGTATGATAGGGAAATGGGACAGGAGTCATTGCTGTAAACAACCGATGCTCGAAAGGCGGGATCCAAGAGTCAATGCTCGATCCTGCAGACAACTAGGTGAGTACAACTAGGTGAGTACACACACATCTACCATATCTATTACCATATCTAGTCAAGGATAAGACTAAACTGGAAAAGGTTCAAAGGTTTGCCACCAGACTAGTACCCGAGCTGAGAGGTATGAGCTACGAGGAGATACTACGGGAATTAAATCTCATTTCGCAGGAAGACACAAGAGTTAGCGGGGACATGATCACCACATTCAAGATTTTCAAGGGAATTGATAGAGTAGATAAAGACAGGCTATTTAACACAAGGGGCACACGCACTAGGGGACACAGGTGGAAACTGAGTGCCCAAATGAGCCACAGAGATATTAGAAAGAACTTTTTTAGTGTCAGAGTGGTTGACAAATGGAATGCATTAGGAAGTGATGTGGTGGAGGCCGACTCCATACACAGTTTCAAGTGTAGATATGATAGAGTCCAATAGGCTCAGGAACCTGTACACCTATTGATTGACGGTTGAGAGGCGGGACCAAAGAGCCAGAGCTCAACCCCCGCAAGCACAATTAAGTGAGTACACACACAAGAGTATTGGCTGCATATCTGTTCATTTTGTGAAAATAAAGATAACTATTGTTATCACATGTAGTTATAACGTGATAATAACCTTAACCTCTTGTATCAATGGCGGGGATGTGAGTTATAATAACGAAATCAATTTTTTTTTTTTATTAATACATTAGGTACATCTGCATTAGTTTGGGGGGGGGGGGGGACGGGGCGTTGAAGTCTTGGGAGGTAACTCGGTCTGTTTCACTATCACGGCCCCGCCACTGCGCACCTCCAAGTTGGCTCCCCGCCCACTCTCTCATCCACCACCATCCGTCGCCACCATCACCACCACTAACATTCACCATCATTACCACAATCACTCACCACCGCTCACCACACTAGCGCAATACCAACACGCGCCATCACTACAACCACTTAGTATCACCACTATCGCGCCACCATTCACTATCACCACCACACCAACACTTACCACACCGCTACTCATCACACTAGCACCCAGTATCACTAATACTCAATATCACCACCACACCAACATTCACTATCACTACCACGCCAGCACTTATCACCACCACAACACTCCACCACACTAACACTCACTATCACCATCATACAACACTCACCACCACACCAATACTGCATTACCACCATACCAATACTATCACCACCAAACACATCAATACTCTCACCACCACACCAAACACAATCACCACCACGACACTCGCTATCTCCACCACACACACACACACACCAACACTCACTATCACCACCACCAACACTCACCAGCACCACTACCACTAGCTACCACCACCACCACCACACACGGATCACCACCACCAGGCGCCCACAACCTCCCCAGTATGGGTCGCCATGGTTTCCCTCATACAATATATAAATATAATGTGCTTGTGAGTTAGAGTGTATTAACTATACATCAGTGTTGGCTGTTAGCGCCTAGTTGGCGAGCAGCGGCAGGTCTGAATTGCGCTAGTCAACCCGCCAGCCAGCCAGCCAGCCAGCCAGGATAGGGCGGCCGCCAGTCGCTCCCACCAACTCGTCCCAATGGTCGACTCAAATTAAACGATAATTAACCGTGTTACTTGATTAATTCATTGTGTATTATCACTGAAATTATGGGTATATTGATCGCATCTAGAAAGTAGTTGGTATGGGAATCTTAAATGCGGTAGTGGAACGGTGTTCGGGTAGAATGAAGGCGAAGCCGAGGCTGGTGGTGGGGGTTGGGAGGCGGCGGGAGCCCGGCCTCTTTACCTACTTGTGTCTCCGCCACGCAACTCAGGCCCCCGCAAACTACACTTTTTTATATATTATTGAAATTAACGCTTTAATACTTGTAATTTTTGTTATTTCTAATATTGCTCATATATTTAATGATGTATCCTACTTGTATGCTAAATTTCAATAATAATATACTAGACTTTGGTCAGAAAATTCACTTGTCTGTGTTAATATAGTATTAATTGGAGGCAAATATTTGTGGAATAAAGCTTCTCAGTTTTGTATACATCAGAATATAAGTTTACATGTATGTAATTAATACAGGTATTGATGTCTTTAGTTAACTCACCCATTGACAGTGTTGGTGGGAATTTTGTAATATTCTCTTTAGCAATATTGATATTATTGTCACGTTGAGGTGAATGTATAATAATGTTTTGTGTTTTTTTCAGGGGCACTCGAAAATGGGGCTTCCTCGAGCAAGCGGCAAGCGGCGGTGGTCTGGTGAAGACTCTGCTGACGCCGTACCTGCGGCCAAGGTGATGTGCACCTCGCCGCCCCACGCCCTCTGCGCTGAGGACGTGCTGCACCACCCCGCCCTCACCCACGCCCATGCTTCCACGCCCGCCCACGAGTGCGAATTGACCACTCCGGCGGCAGTGACTGATGCCGACGAGACCTCCACCAGTCTGACGGAGGAGGAGGACCACATCGCCTCCTCGAGCAGCACCTGCGACCATCACTCACAAGAGGACCATTCCTTCACCGAATCCGAGGACGACGAGTCCATGGACGAACGTGATGACTTTATTGATGATGAGGAGGACAAGGACTCCGGGTTTATTGATAGCAACTCTATAGACAATTCTTCTGACGATGAAGTGGAAGGAAGAGTGATACCATCGGACTCGTCAGCCTCGTCCTCCACCCTCACTGACGCCTCCACCGTGGCCTCCACTTCCCTTCAGTTGTCCCTCTCGCAAGTTCTCCCTCCTCCCTCCTCAGAATTTTTAATAAGTACTATCTGCCCTGAAAACAAGGTTAACACTATCTGTACCGCTTCCCCTTCTCCTGTCACCATCATCACACCTAGCCCAGTATCACCAGTCACTATTCTCTCATCTACCCCATCATCACCAGTCACCATCACCTCGCCAACACTCTTGCCTGCAGTAACCTTCCATACATCTACTTCATCATCCCATACCATCACCGACTCATCTCCTTCATTGTCAACAACGATTCATGCATCCGATGCCACCTCATTGATAACTATCCACGCCGCCTCCCCATCATCACCAGTACCCTTCTCTCCGATATCTACCTCACCCACTTCTACAATGTTTCTTTTAACAGCTGTGTCGACCATGACCACATCAACTACTACCACTACTACTACTGTTACTACCAGTGAGGAACGACTTCCTGGGACCTTGGTGAATGATGCAAGTGTCACCACTGTCACAGCAACTCAAACAGGTACAGTGGTGACAAGTGCATACCAGGGAGCGTTATCTTCCTCGACGTACGATTCCCACTCGTACCCATACCCTACTGAGACCTATCCATCACGACCTTCTACTCCTGCTGCGTGGGAGAGCTGTAACTATTATGATGGATCTCAACCCAATACAAACAAGTACATGGAGATCTCGCCCAGCAAGTCAAGCACCAGTCAGTCAATTCAGTGTGATGAAAATGGCAAGTCATACCTGGAACTGGGAAGTGCCTCTCCATATACTCACACATACTCCAGTGACTGTGGCAATTATACGACGTCACCCTCTAATTACCCTTCGCAATCTTACAATCAAACCTACACCAGTCCTAGCTCCTATGGCCAACCAAATACCTATTACAATTCCAGACAAAGTTATAGCCCAAATCCCTATGCCTATCCAAGTAGTGAAAACTATGCTAATTTTGAGGGAGAGAATGGATGCAGTTACGGTTATGGTGCAAATACCAATACTTATGGTAATGCACGAAGTACCCTGCCACCTTCTCGTGGGCCTCCACGATGTATGTCACCATACTGTGACCCAACAAGAGGGACTGCAAGACCTTCCTGTTATCACCAACAAAGGCTGTCAGTGCTCAATGTTTCCATGTACAAATTGAACAGATTTCGACAATTCCCAGACCCCAGCCTTCATCGTTCTGTGCTCATATGTAACACTTTGAGACACATAGAGCGTGAATTGGAGGCAGAAGGAGTTAGTGTTGCCACTATTTTAGCACACTCACATGCCCATGCTGCTCATTCACATCTACAAGGATCTACACCCAACCCAGGAACTCCTCCATGCCCAGAGCCCATGCCGTCCTCGCCGCCACCTTCTCCTGCACCATCAGAGGGCCCTCTGCCTTCCATGCATGCCCCTCTTGTAGGCTCCCCACTGGCAGCACCTGTGTCTCTGCCTCCGTCCACACCTGTCACGCCCTCTCCTGTCAATCACTACAGTACTGCAGTACCCACTGTCCAGTATCCTACTGCACAGTACCTGCCTGCTGAGCATTCTCCAGCTTATGATGGCAGAGAAACTGTTCACATGCGCCCCTATTCAAGTCTGCCTTCCAACAACCACCATAGTGAGGTTGGTGAAGGGCCCTCAGGTGTGGTGGATAGTGAAGCAGAGCCTGAGGATACCCCACCACCTTCCACCCCTCGGCCCCCGCCACTTCCACCAGAGGAGCGAACTGATGCCATCAACTGGTGCTCGGTTTTAAGTCTGTCCTCCCAGACTGACCTGGACTCTATGAACAATAATGAGTATGGTGACTGGAGTGGTGAAGGTAGTTCTGAACTGGACTATAATCGCCCAGATGATGCGCCGCCCTGGAAGTTGCCATCTCTTAGTGCCGATGATGTGCTCAAGTCTTTCCCTGAGGCCTCTAAAAGACTCGAAGCCAATGAGGATCTCGATTCTATTATAAATGTCTTAGTTGGCTCTTAGCATTTAGTGTAGACTAAATAATTGTTACTTCATTCCAAAGGAATCAGTGTTCAGGTTCTGCCGCCATGCTGGCAATAAGAGTACATCGCAATCCAGTGCATTTGTGGACAACCAGACTTTGCTCAACGCCTGGCTGGCACCGTGGTCCATAGGTCCAGTAGCCAGTCGCGCCCTGTGTCCCAAGGGTGCCGACTTATGCCGCATACACCAGGCCAGCCGCACAGTAGCACATGGCCCACTCCTCAGGGCAGAGGCACGCACCTCAGGCACACATCACACCGGCTGACTCAAGTGAAGCTTTACCACTCACACCTGGAGCGGTTATGTGTCGGCTACCCCTTTGATTAAGGTTACGAAGTGTACCTGCATATAAATACAGTAATTAAGTTCTCATTAATGTAACAGTGGCAATATATAAGGTTCCGTACCAGAGTTTTAGGCAATTAATTGCCAAAAATATTTTTATGCTTGATTATTCAAGATATATTTCAGTGCTGATTTTCCTTGTGGACAAAGGTGCTTATATTCAGTTTTAAATATATTTTGATTTCACTTAGTTATTCAGACATTTTTAATCTCAAGAGCGGTTGTGTCTTAGTATCTTTCAGTATTTACCATTATATTATTCTGCATTGAGGAGTCTAGTGTATGGAGTAAGCTGCTGATAATTGTGTATTGACTGCTCTGGCCCACCTACAAGTTCAAATTGTTCATATTATTTTGAGACACTGCAGTTCTCATGATGTCACATGATGAACTGTATTAGGCAGCATAACAGTGTCTACCCAGTGTTCCACACTAGGGTCTAAATATATCACCATTATCAATGGGTTTTTCTTTTGGTGCCAATGGGAATTTCGGCTTGTTCATGCCAGTTACTCACTTGTAATTTTCAAACAAATATTTGTTAGAAAATATTGTATGAATTAAACATTGGTTCATAAGAGAGAGACAAAAAAAAAAAGAATTGTGCCTGGTATTAGTAGGTTGTGATTCCCTGCTTGTTATTTTGATCTCTGGTGATTTTATTGTAGAATGACTCATTGATTCTAGTCGTGGTGATCGCCATAGACAGCCGTGCACATGCCACCAAGGAGCAATTAAGTGCAACACAAAACTGTTTCTTTTCTTTACTCAATCTGATATTAATCAATTTTAAAGGTCTCCTGATCAGTTACCTTGTGGCTACCACTAGACACAAAATTCAGTCACTTATGTCTTCCTAATTTTCAACATTTTCATATTCTGTTAAAATACTTTTGTATTATCCACATATATATTTTTTTTATTTTAAATGAGTACATGCTATCAATTTTTAATAATTGAGACATTATATCTGAAAAAGCTATAAGACAATTATTTTACAATGTGAGCATATTTTCCTGTATTGTGAATATTTCTGTATGAGTTGCCTCCTTACAGAACAGCCAGTCAGTATCAGGTGTGTGGGTGGGGTGTGTGGGCATGTGTGTGGCTGGGTGGGGAAGGTAGTCCTCTTGCTAGGTGCCCACACTCATGCCCCAGCATGACTTGCCCACACCCATGCTGGCTGGCTGCCCACTTCTGATTCTCGTCATGTATGTCTTGATAGCCACATGCCGATCATCGAAACTGTATTAAGTGAAGCCAGCAAAGCCCAGCAGTCTAGTGCTCTACCAGGAGGCAGCACAAGTGTACAGTACAATGGCTCTGCCTTAACAATAATGGTTATTAGTTAGATAATCTGTAATTAAATTGGCTGTGATCACCTAAGGAAGGTCCCTTAAGTGTAAGCTGAGTGATATATGACTTCGGTTGTGCTCTACTCAAATTCTCAACCTCTGACTACTCTTTGTGATACAATTGCTCAGAAGTACAGTTTATAGTAGAGTAAACAGCAGAACCACTTAGATTCTTTGTAATGCAGTTATAATTTTGTGAGCCCCCTGCTTTCTGTATGGCCTGAATTTTTATCAACACCCCATCAATTCGGTTCCCATTTCAGACTGTCTCACAGTGCTTGGTCACAAATACACCTACATTTTTTAACTATTTGCATAAAATTGAGCATATGTTTTCAGTGTTACACATGACATTTGATTCCCAAAAGTGAAAGTGGTTGGATGCCGTTCCATCATTTTGTCCTAATATTCTAGCTCTTCCTGTGTTCTCATTTCCCTTCAGAGTGCTATAAAGTCATACTGACTTGTGCTTTGTCCTCACAATTACCACACCCTACCTACCTTCATTGTTGCATATTTAAGCAGAATCCTTCACATGCACATACTCTGATACTTTACTGTTTATATTAATATTTATAACCATTGACTCCAATGTGTACATTGTCATAAACCCCAGTATACACACAGTCTTACTAACAGGGTATTGGCCCCATAATACTGGTTACCTGATACATGCTGGACACTAGTACCAATCATTTCCCCATATGCCATTTTCATGCAAGTCAATGACAAAAATGCGTAATTCTTCAAGTCTCGTTTTAAATAATTTGACTGTTTCACATTAGAGTTTTTTAATACTAAAATTAAAATATTAGTTTAATTTTTAGTGATTTATACATTTATAATTGTAATCACATCAAATAGTATGGTACCCAACCTTCCCTATAGTATCCACATAAGTATCCACATAATACACTAGCATAGTACCCCCGTATGCCTTAAATGATCTTAGTAAAAAAAAAAAATACCATGGTACACACATAAGCTCTACATTTGAATCGCCTACACTACCATGATAGTTACATTACCACAGTACCCAGATATGGCCGACACTCGTTGGTATACTGACATACTGGTATACTGACACTCGTTGGTATACTTATAAGGTATACTTACCTCACGTGCTATCACTCCTCTCCATACACCAAATTACATAGAAGCACCCATTCTGCAGAACACCTACACAACCACGACCCACCTGAGGCCCACTGCCGGCATGGCCCGAGTGAGCTTGAGTACATACATTCAATTATTAATGGGTGGGTAAAAATGATGGTGGTGGGAGGTAATGGGGCAGTCGTCCCCCCTACTTCCCCCACCCCACCCCCCTCTTCCTTCCCCCCCGCGTATTGATTAGCACACGACACGGCACACCAGAGCCCGGCCTGGCCTCCCTCAGCACCACAGGGGCTACCGTCAGTAGTAGACATTGTATAACCTCACCCACCACGACACAAGACAAAAGTTGTTTCCTTGGCACATACACCACATCCCTCTTGTGTCAAACGGCACCAGGGGGGTAAAGTAAGACCCTTTTGTGAGACAGTAGTGTAAGGAAGAGCGGCGTGTTGCATGGCCATAGTGAAGTAGTGGGGGCAGGGAAGGCTCAAGGGATAGCGGACAGGGCTGGCTAGCAGGCTTCACTTGAGGGCGTGTGGGCGCCGCTACCCGCCCACACGCCACCATAATTACCTGTGATCCTCCTCACTTAAGGATGACCTAATGGTTATGGTAATGAATGGGTTTAACAAGAGAATAAAATATGTATAATTATGTTGACTGCTGCATTGTTGTTGTGGCAGTACAGCCCCAGAGATGTACTTACACTAGAGTCATTTGTTCTATAAAGCTGAAGGGGAGAAGCAAGCCAAAGATATTTTCCGTATGAGAAAAATTGAGGTGACAAATAAGTTTTGGCAGTTTTCATAGATGGCTTTATGAAGCAAATGAAGTGTATTTTATATAGATTTTGTGTATATATTTATTATATGTAAATATCTGTAAGTAATGTCAAAATGATAAAGCAATAAAAAATCAAGTGTCTTCTATATTTTTCTGTCCCGTTCTGCAATCTCACGATAAGAATAAAAATACAAATTTTAAAAATTATATCGAGAAGTATATTATAGTTATAGCAACTATTGTGCATTTGTTATACATCTCTGTACAAATGCAGACATCCCGTGTATAAAACTGACACCATAGTCAGCTGTGTTGACAACGGTTACTGGTCAGTAATGAGCAAGAGGTCGCAGGCGCTGGACCGGACCAAGGCGCCGCAACACTTAAACATTCTGCCATGTTTGGAAGTCTCCAGCAGCAGCAGTCAACATTTAACAGGCGTCACAGCCTAGTTGAAACATCCAGCAATTAGGGTACGTACTCTTGCAAGCATGATGGTGCATCAGCTGTGAGACTGGCCACCGCTGACGCAACAGCCTAGTCCATCATGGCCTCCACTCCCTCCCACCCCTAAATGCATTCACGATAACATAAATATAATATGTTTATGGGCGTCACAAAATAAGATTTTAACACAAGATTGTAACTTACTTAGCTAAATGAATTGTGGGGTTCAGTCCCTGAGCCCATTATAACTCTGTAACCCTTTCCACTACCGCCCGCAAGATGGGTATGGGGTGCATAATAAATGAACTAACACAAGGGATATATATATACGCATATAGAAAGAGAATTTAAGTCTTGGGACTAAAGTATACATTAGGAAGCCTATAGCCATTTTGCCCAACGCCAAACTAAAACTTAGCATATTATGAAAGTATATTCAAGTTTACGAATGACGTAGCTGTTTAGGCTATTGTAGAGGTTTAATATTAGTTAACATACTGTTTTGTTCTTTATCTGTGATATGTGTATCAGCAATTGTACACATTTGATGATAAAATAGAATGTTTATAATAAATATAAAATCCCTACTAAGTGAAAAGAATGGTTTGGTGTTAGGCTTGAAGTCTATCAACCGCGAACAGGGAGGGGGGGGGGGGAGGCAATTATAAATAAATAAATAAATAAATATGTTTATTCAGGTAAGGTACATACATACAAGTGATGATACATTAATGGATTGATATATAGATAGAGCTAGTACATACAATGCCTAAAGCCACTATTACGCAATGCGTTTCGGGCAAGGTCAATTAACACCACTGAATGGTTCAAAGTGTGTGAAGGGTCTGTGGTCCAGTTGTGGGACTACCGGAGCATATTCAGTACTACACCATGTCAGTTGTACACCAGAGCAGGGCGTGTATGTAGGATAGATGCCTTCGGAACACGCAACTCGTCCTCTACCCAGAGGCAAAAATACCTGAACACCATCCTCTATTATAATATGCTGGTGTGTAGTCATGCTGCCTTACCGCTTTCTTGATAATTGCTTAATATGCTAATATGTCGGTATATGACTTAATACATTTGGCTCCCGGTAGAGGATATGATGTTTCATACGGTGTAAACTGTTTTTGTCTCATTGAAATTAATATTATACATCTGCATTGTGCATAGACCTTAAGGTTTTATTAGGTTGATTTTGAGGATTTACATGTACACGAATTGAATGAACACGTTTTGAGTCATAGCGAAGATCGAAGAGTCAGATTAACAACAGTTTTAAATAACAAAAACAAAGAATCATTGACTGGGTTAGTCCATATTTTATTTATTGCATCAAACCAAAGGCATCTCGGGTTTACAACGTGTGTCAAATATTGACATTAAAAACTCTGCAAGTCATTTGATTTAAAATACCACGTTCGAAGCTATGACTCAAGAGATGGTTTATTGTATTTTAGCCTGTACTGTAAACAAATTAATTCAATGTAACCAAAACACCTTACCTAAGCTTATCTAAACCTATGACAAATTTCGGGAGGAAGATTAATTGCCATATTTCGTATTTACATGTAACCTTTGTGAACGATGATGCTCATTCTGGTTACTCAGTGTCAGACATTTATAGACCCGAGTGCCAAACAATTCAACACTTATCCTGGTGCCTCTTGGTGATTAAAACACGTCAATGTTAATCACTGACGAGGTACCAATGGTAGTCATTGATGAATATGGTGCAAAGAACGTGCATCATATCTAAACGATAAATAAGTATATAAAATGATGTACTAAGGTTAACTAAACCATTGAAGGTTAACTGCCAATAGCAATCACTGATCGTCGAGAGGTCACTGTTTACTAGGCGTTGCATTCGTCCTGGAAAAAAAATAGAAGAAAACTTAATTATGGAAAACAAAACAGTGTATATGGTGATAGTGAAAGCACGCACAGAGCTGTCAGGTTCTAAATACAGCTGAAAATAGAACATTCGTAACAAAAAAACCTCTCGCCAACTGACGGAAATCTAATGTATCCCCATCCCTTCCTAATGTATTACATCACCGGAAGCCTCTTTGAATATACATAATGAAAAATGGTTTTACTTACCAGGAATAACTATATCATTATTCAAATTTCACAATCGGTCTGTCAATCAATGGATGTAATCCCATGATGATCCAGGCAGCAACATTACAGCAGGTGGCGTTTCCGGCCGATCTGTTAACAAGTGCATTTTGCTAGATGCAAAACGCCCGAAACGTTTTGCATCATGCCCGAAACGCTGCGCGTGCTAGTGGCTTTACAAGACTGTAATTACCATATTTGTATCCTCACATTCCTTATGTACATTCTTGTATATGCATAAATAAATAAAATAAATAAATAAATAAGATATCCAGCTTGGCACAGGACATCTCTGCCACCTTGGCAAAGAACAAACTTGCCCGTGATGTCACACCACGGGTTCGAAAATAGCGAGGTACGAACCAACGCACCTTGCAGCACTACGCGTGTGACCTAAATCTCCTATAACATTGGTTGGTTAAATGTTGGGCAGAAAGCTGTCAATATATTAGCTTACTGACTAAGCAACAAGTATACTTTAGTTCTGATTATAGCTCAGGATTAAAGTATACTCTTTAGTGAATATACAGAGAGTTTGTCACCACATCATATCCACGGTGTGGCTGTGCACATCATCATACCCATGGTGTGGCTGTGCACATCATCATACCCACGGTGTGGCTGTGCACATCATCATACCCACGGTGTGGCTGTGCACATCATCATACCCACGGTGTGGCTGTGCACATCATCATACCCACGGTGTGGCTGTGCACATCATCATACCCATGGTGTGGCTGTGCACATCATTATACCCACGGTGTGACTGTGCACATCATCATACCCACGGTGTGGCTGTGCACATCATCATACCCATGGTGTGGCTGTGCACATCATTATACCCACGGTGTGACTGTGCACATCATCATACCCACGGTGTGGCTGTGCACATCATACCCACGGTGTGGCTGTGCACATCATCATACCCACGGTGTGGCTGTGCACATCATCATACCCACGGTGTGGCTGTGCACATCATTATACCCACGGTGTGGCTGTGCACATCATCATATCCACGGTGTGGCTGTGCACATCATTATACCCACGGAGTGACAACAGCACATTATTGAGCCCAGGAACTGGACCCTATTAATTTTTAGCTAAGCACATTGTACACATTGTAGTGTTACTGGACTACATACAGGATTTACAGTAAATAATGTTGAGATATTTGCCACATATTTTAAATAATTCGTCATTATGGATGAAGTATTTGGACGTTTCTGAAATATTTGTTAAATATTTTTTTAATGTAATCTCCCCATCACACTGAATTACACAATAATTCAGTGTTGAAATAACGCCTCATATATGGTGAGATTTACAAGAAATATGTGTAGCCTGGTAGCCTAGTCTTATATGGCGTAGCCTACAGCTCAGTAACGGATGTTTGATGAGCGTCTTAATGCCATCATAGCTCTGGGGTTATAGATGATAAGCAGGTGTGCTTGTGGGTAAGTATTGAGGCTGCTTAGTTAAAGTTTAGACAGCTGGGTGGATAGCCCTTCGGATTCGTAGTCCTGAGGTTCCGGGTTCGATCCTCGGTGGAGGCGGAGACAAATAGGCAAAATGTTTCTTTCACCCTGATGGCCCTGTTAGCTTGCAGTAAATAGGTGCCTGGGAGTTAGACAGCTGCTACGGGCTGCTCCCTGGGGTGTGTGTGTACCAAAAAGGAGGCCTGGTCGAGGACCGGGTCGCGGGGACGCTAAGCCCCGAAATCATCTCAAGATAACCACAAGATATAGACCACAGTAAAGCTACGAGAAGTCTTTACTGAAGGCCACGTTTCGAATGTGTCAAATTGAATAAGTTTTTCTGGTATAAATTTAGCAAGTGTGGCTGCATTATTATATTTTTTTTGTTACCCTCTTAGATGAAGTTGGAGATCTTAACAACTGGCTATACACATTATGTATTTACGCATGTAGCTTAGCCTAACATTTTAAAAGCACTACGATCACCTTCTGTGGTTGTTCTATGGAGGACAGAAGAAAATGTATATATGCTGGTTAGCAGCATATATGGGTAAATGTGTGGCCACGTCTGTGGTAGAAAATAATAATAATAATAAAAAAAACTTCTTTTCTATGTTAGGTTTTGCCATTATTTTTTTTATATAGTCCTCTAAAAAGCTATAACTTTGTTATTTTCACAGTTCTTTATTTGTTTGTAACTATTTAATTTATGGGAATTATTGCTATTAGAGTTGAACACTGTTTATTAAACGTATTCGGTTGCAACATTGAATGACAGTGTCATTTTGTTTGTGATTTCTTAGCTGCTGGAATTGAATACAGTTCAGTAAATAGTGGTTGACGGAATGTCCATTTGGTCGTTCACAATATTTGCACTTTCTTTTTTTTGCTGTAGTGTTGATCTCGATCTGCCAAGCGTATGCGTAGCCTAGTCCCACTGTTTGTTCTTTACCCCGGTGCTGTAAGTGCTGAAGGAGAGCTGACTGTACCCGATAACATCTCTGTACCCCCGCAGCTGATGCGGGTATGGTACATAGAGCTATCTATCCTTCGATTACGAAGGATAGATAGCCCCGATCACTGTCATTTGCC